CACAATGGAAACATTGCCCCTGTTCACTTTCGATTATGCACTTAATGTCACTGGGCAGAAATGTACCCAAACGACACTCGGTGATAATTTTCTCTCATTCCTACCGAGTCACTGAGCAAGAAGGATCACTAACAAAGCACAGATACCTCTAATGTTATTAGATTATTCATTGCGCACCATATAACTTTAAGATCTATGCTGAAAATGCCCTCAGTAAAGATAATAAACACAGGCATGACATTTGATCAGACAAACAGCTATGGAATGAGAGGAATTAATGGTTTAAAAGGGGGTGGGGCCAATCAATTTGTATTTTAGTTATATAGTTTTGTTATATAACATTTTGTAGTTACAGTATATGCACACACATACTGTGTGTGTCTGTGTGTGTCTATATATATATATATATTGGGAAAACAGAAGAATAGTCTTCCTGTAGTGCAAGCTAAAACCTTGGGTTCCTTTACATCAGAGCTAGATAAGATTTTAACAACTCTGAGCTATTAGTTAAGTTCTCCAAAAACGGGCTTGATGGGCCGAAAGGCCTCCTCTCATTTGTAAATTTCTTGTGTTCTTATGGCACTGAATATTGCCATCATTACTAGCATATGTTAGTTATATACACTCACAGAAACATACATACATACATACATACATACATACATATGCGATTAGACAGCCTCACAAATGATGTCATGGTCACAGGTCCAAATCTCACTCTGAAAGCCCTTCTCAGTGTCCGCCACCTGGATGACACTGAGCGTTACTGTCATTAGTAGGTGAGTGGCCCACTTAAGAGGTGCTTTTGTCAACTGTAAACAAGCTATTTTGGTAAAATGCAAAATTGCACAATTATGCAGTCATTTGCTAAGTTCATTCATTATACTTCTGTCAACAGATGAAACCTTTTTTTTTTTTTTTTAAATGAAATCACTGCAAATGCAAAATAAACAAATGCAACACATGGAACATTATGCCTGTGACGATGGGATTCTAAAATGCTGTTCATCAAAGGGTTAGTTTCTGAGTATGTTTCCTTATTGTATTGCTTTAGGTTATAAACACATTACTGTTTTAAAGAACATACCTGGGAAATTAACACGGCATTGAATTGCAAATGATTGTGGGTTTTATCCCAAGAGATGGCGTGATGCCACTCACTGGACAGGCATCATACTCAGGTATGTTTTGATAGCTCTGAAATTTCACTTATGGGATTTCATCATTGAAAACAGGCTTTCTTATCTTTGACTGTCTAATTATTATATTCCTTCCCTGGTGCCTGAAACCTCCCCTTGTTTGCCTCATTAATATGTAAGAACTACATCCTTTTTAAATCCAAGTGCTACAAAATCTCCTTAATAATTACAAAACCCAAACACAGACGTCGTGTATATCAACTGATATGGAAACACATAAAAAGCGAGAAATTCAGTTACTGTGCCCACAATGGAATCTAACCGAAGGTTATTCTCATTTTCTCTTGATTTGTGTATCTGACGCGACGTCTCCAGGCCCTGTAGCCAACGTTTGGGGGAACTCCACCGGCCACATGCTTCTGGCGGTTAAAGCATGGCATTTCCGAACACGGCGCACTGCAGAAAGCCAGCGCCAGGCTTTTCGGTGTCTGCGGGGGCTGAGATTACATTTCTATCATTTGTTTTCTATTTAATGCTGGACCTGGGGGCAGACCATAGGATCAGTGATCATGTCCTCACTGTCCCCTTGATTTCCCTCGAGTCCAGCCGACTTGGCACTCCCAGAAAACATTGCATTCCTCTCATTTTTAATGCATGAAATTCACAATGCTAATATAACACACAGCAGCTTCCGTAATAGTGTATACTGTATATATTCATACTGAAACATGCACTAGTGTGTTTTTAGGACTGCAACAGCAGTAACAACCAATAAAAAACAGTATTAATTCACATTAATATACATTTATGCACTACATGGGCGTTTTTATATTAAACTCCACCTTCGTTAGTGACTGGAAGGCTTAAGGAAGACCGAGTACCTACCGTCTACAAATTTCCACTCTTGGTTCTAAGGATCTTATATCGGATCACACTGTTCAAACCAGAGGATGTGAGTGAGTCTGAGATGATTTTTTTTTTCCAGGGAATGTAATTCACAATGATCCAAGTGAACCTGCAATTAAGGCAGTTTACTGGTGCAATCGTAGTCGCTGTGGACAAAAGATGTGTAATTTTTGTCAGATGTGTGTATAAATTGCTGACTGCCAGGCCGGGTCTTAAAAGCTCTCTCTTAGAGACGACAGATTGCTTCGTTGATGGAGGGGCCCGCTCGTGCTCTCTAAGGGTGGTTGCCATGGCAAGGTAAACTGGCCCACTGCTGAGTTTCGCGGATTTCATTTTGGGAAAAGGAACCTCGACTCTCCCTACCTCATTCTTGGCCATCATGGGCAGGATGGGTGATGAAGACGGATATATTCCACTCATGTTCATGCCCACCACATGGCCACTAGCGCATTTTGGCCCCTGATAATATCACTGGATGCTACATAACAAGCTATATTCCTCTATTGGCATTGTGTACTTCACGGCACAATAGTGTAAAAACATGACCAAGTAGATTAAAATTTCCTGCCGCAGACCATCAGAAGCGTACACTCTGTAGAATCGGTATGAAAATGCTAACCATCCAATCAACGTAAGCTAAAAATAAACAAAAGCTAAAGGATAATCAGGTTCCGTTCAGTCCATGAATTTATATCAGGTGTGGTTTTGTTTTGTCACTTCTGCAGGTATGTGATTAATTCTGTGGATCAAATTCAAACCATACTCCCCTTCTCGTCACATACACTGGGGAGAGGAGTCTATCTCGCACAGATTAATATGACTTTCCTCTGGTAATCTGCGCGGAGCCTCCTTGGCAAATTAACAATAGTCTGTCTGGACATAAAATTAAGTTCCGTCTGCTAGCTTATGATTCACACATCTCCTGCACTCTTTCCGAAATGCGTAGGTTCCATTGTGCCCCATTTGGCCGCCTTGCCTACCTCGAAACGATATTACTCCGTGTGTTTAAAACTCCCCTCGTACCCGAAGCTACTGTTGCAGTCAAGGTGCACAAAACATTCCAGATATTAAACAACTTTTCAGGCCTGCAGGTGTTTTGAATGTGGAAAGTTGTGCTTTGTTGATTACATTATCGAGCGCATGCAGTGTATGACTTTTAACCGGTGACCCTTTGCTGTTAAAGTCTGAAAGCTGAGGAACTTGGTGACCACAGCTTGACAACAGACTCCACAACTCAAGCTGGTAAGCATTTGTGGAACCAGACTTGTGACCAAACGTTGGATAGGGGAGAAGCAGCGTTTTACTCACGACATTTTCAGCGATGTCGAATACTGCGAGCCCGCCGGGGGCAAAGCAACACCAAGTAACTGGGCTAAGCTGATGGGCAGTGTCTCCATGACGATTGATTTGCACCCACAGGTTGACTAAGAGCCAGCTGGTCCTGATTAGACTCCTGGCCCCTTTAGGCTGTAAGCAGAGTCAACATGATGCTTGGGGGGGGGGGGGGGGGGGGGGGTTTGGGTTAGATTATTATTATTATGGTATGGATGGTAGCGATGGTGCTAGCAATATTGAAACCAAACCTACGCCCCCAAATTATTATTATTGTTAACCATCCACCCGTCCATCCATCCATTCTCTATACGCGCTTGTGCCATGCAGGGTAGCAGGGGTCTAGAGCCTATTCCAGAAGCTACTGGCGCAAGGTAGGAAATATCCCAGGATAGGGCACCAGCCCATTATTAATAATAATAATAATAATAATAATAATAATAATTAATAGTTACATTGGGGCATAGGACGGGCATAAAGAAGATAACGATCCACTTGCAATTTTGTGACAAAAAGGGGCAATGACAGACCAAGGAACAGGCACTTAAATAGACTGAGCACAATGATTAACAAGGGGCAGGAGTGGTTATACTACACTAGGGGCAATGAGGAGCAGGTTATCCAATCAATTAATCAATTAAGGCACAGGACAACAGGTGGAATAAATTACAGACAAAGGAACTAGTGAACATTGTAAAATACTGAGGGTAAACACTAGGAAGGACTAGGAAGCCAAACACAAGCAGAACAGAATTAAACCAGACGCAAGTTGGATAAACTAAAACAGGGAAGCAAAGATAACTAATAAACTCTAGGAAAAACAGAAAACCAATAAACAAACAAAACATGTGAAGCTGGTTCCAGGGCAGCCTCAAACCCAACACTGGCAGGTTGTCAGCCCATTTAGCTATGCAGGGAGCAAGGGCGACACACTAGGGACTTAGAGCTAAGACAGAAGGAACAGTTTGGGCAGCGACACCTACTGACTAAACAGAGAATGAACACATAGGACAGGGATGGACAGGCACTAATCATATGTTATTATTATTATTATTTGTTTGCATGGAATTTTTCATATGTTGTGTGTATTTGCAGACTCACGTTGAATTTGGTTTTTTTCCCCCGAGTAAATATTTCTCTCAAACTACAAACTCTGCTGAATGTTCTTGCACAAACATTTTGAAATCTGAAGTCAGGCTATTGTCCTTGCTTTATGATTATTTACAATTTTATTTTGTCTGCTTCAGTGCAAGCAGAAACATGATCACTAGAATTCTCTGTTTAATGCAGCTTCTGCAAACTATTTTTTTCTGTCTTCTTAAAGCAGTCAGCATTTTTGTGATTCCTAAGCAATAATGTTTAGTAGTAGCAGTTTCTTCATATGTGTCTTAGAATTTCCTTCATACTGTATCAGTACTGATGTGACTGACGCTGAAAAGGAAATTAGAGGAAGATAAATATTATTAGAACATTTACACCGCAGACTGTCAACATTATTACATGAGATTATTTAGGGGAAGGGGAGTGATTAACTGTCTGTGAGTTGACAGTAAAGGGGATTAAAAACATAGCAGTATAGCCAAGCTGCATTTTCAAATTTCAGAGATGACAGGACTCATAAAAGCCAATGTATCATAAACATTTACTGAAGTATTCTTTTAACAATCACCATCCATCTTCCAATGACGTATCCTGCTCGGGGTCTTGGGAGGACCTGGACCCAGTCTCAGGCAAGATAGGGCACCAGGAAGTCACCTTGCTGGACACGTGAAGCCTGAATGAGCAGAAATGTATGGCGATAATGAGGTGCTGTTTATTGTAACATGCATTGCACAAATGCATAATTTCAGGCTATGCAACAATGTCTATATTCCACTGTTTAAAAGAATTGCAGCCTTGTATTGCAAGAATAGATGGTACCACTTTGCAAGAATAATCATAGAAGTAATTCTAATTATGGTTGTAATATAGCAACGATACTAGGAAAGAGATGATTAAATCTGTACCCTTTTAAAATGAGTACGCGGCAGGCTTCTCATCTTGCAGCACGTCGCCGTCGGTAATTGCATCACTATTAGTTTGCACTATTGCTTTCCGCATGTCTCGCGGTGTCTCTAAGCGCCCGCGTGCCTGTGTTATAAACACGTTTGTTTTCCGTAAGCACGCTCCGCCAGCCATTCGTTTCACCCGACGACTTCCGCGCTGACAGCTCGTTCCCAGGTGCCACGTCTGGAAAAGCGGGTACACATCCAAAAAGACGGCAGGTCGGACCCGGTACATCGCAGGCAGAAGCCTGTGCAGTCAGCGCGCCTCCCGATTCGGAAGCACATTGGAGATTAGACTTGGCACCCTTTAGTCAATCCGCTCCTCTATAACCAAGGCTTATATCAGACTCGGGATAGATCTGTTAATTATTTCAGCTACTAGAGTTGCAATAGTCTTTATTTACCACCTCTCACTCAGAGGCTGGTATGCACACTTCTGTCTCTGGAAAACCACTAATAAATATGCAGACATTGCAAATGATGCTTCCATTTTGTACAATTATATTTACTTTCATAGAGATCTGTTTTCTTCTGTCATCCTCCTGCATATGTGCCAGAATCATTTATTTACAGGAGTAAATTACCCAGATATGTGGTGCCCCCCCACCCCATGCTGATACCATAATGGCCCAAAACCCATAAAGTCTGTGTTCCTGTCCACTCTAGTTCTGTTACACTATCCACATGACGTTTTGCAGGCCTCTGTTGGCCGCAAACAGCCACTATACCGGGCAATGGGGGGGTCCTACAGTGACTTAGTGGGGGGTCCCAGAAACAACAAAGAACAGACCAGTCCCTGCCAATTAGAACATCCTTCTGGTCCCAATAAGTCACCATTAGCACTGAAATCCTGAAGGGGGCGTCTCACTCATGCATGTCTGTCATCACAGCGGCGCCGACCTGTTTACCTGAGGGAGGGGCGACGCTGTGAACAGAACTCGGCTGACCGATGAGAATCTGACGGGACGCGTAGCAGTCTTCGGCACGGGAGCGACGCTTCTGTTAGGGACCCAAGGTGACGGAAAACAAAATAGATTGAAAGGAGGTGATGGAGCTGAAATGGCAGACTGTGATGGGGGTGGTGACATCACAGAGGCTGGGAGAGTCAGAAGCTGAAACGAAGGGAGGGCCTTACAAGCTCGTCTCCTGGCTGCCTGTATGCTGCTGTCTGAAAGCTCTTTTTAATTTAATATTAACGCATATATTTCTCATTTGCTGACTCCTTCTGCCAGTAAATGAAACAAACACACGTGTAGATGGGCTCCCTCTCCTCCCTCCGCTCCTCATCACAGCCTAGCTGTTGTCGGGACTCGTCGCATCGTGTGATGTCGTGAAACAGGCCCGTCTGTCTGCCAGAGGCAGCGCCCTTACAAGAACTGAGCAGCGACTAAATCATCACAAATTGGATCTTTAGCGAGAAATGTTTGTTTGCAAATTGCTACGTCATGAAGCGCTACTGGATTCATTTTTAGTTTTCCTTTGTTCTGTCTGTCTTTTCACAGCAAAAATATATCATGTATACATAATGTTTTACTGTCCGCAATGGTTTGGTGCCCGGTCCTGGGTTGTTCTCTGCTTTGCACCCATTGATTCTGTGATAGTCTCTGGACCACCCCAACCCTGCAGAGGACAAGTGGGAACAGAATATGGATGGATGGTTTTAACAATATTGCAAATGAAAAAGTAACATTTTACTCAGTTTGCCGAAAGGTCTAAAGAACATCAATGGAGAACTAACTGTGTTTCCATCTCAAGGTGCCGATAAACCTGTTAACAGCAACTGCAAGTTCAAGGAAAGCTTGTGTTTATATTATGTTTCATGACCACGCCCCCTTTGATTGGCCCTACCCACATCTCAGACCACACCCTTTGACTGGCCACGCCCACATCTCGAACCACGCCCCTTTTATTTGCCCTGCCCACATCTCAGACCACACCCCCTTCGATTGGCCCTGCCCACATCTCAGACCACATCCCTTTGACTGGCCACGCCTACGTCTCG